GTTTATTATATAAAGGACAGTCTTAAATGAAAAGCGATAATGTTTACAGAAAAGCGATAATTGAAAAAGCTATAAATTTTTACATGTGAGATTATCATGAATAATTTCACATCTGAGATTATCATTTTTGTCAGTGCTCGAAAACTCTGTAAACACTATACTTTATATAATAAAAATTCATAAATTTGAACCATGCTAGAGCATGACAACAGCAAAATGCTCTATAGTATGATGCACAATATTTTGGGAGGTGATCGAAATACACGAACAATAAATCAGAGAGTGTTTGCTTGGAACTCACTGGGGGGGGGGGAGGGGGTGCAACACCCCTGATTATTGCTCATGATGAATTTCAGGTAGATTTCCAGTGCACTTTTAGTACGTACATTTAAGTAGATTTGCAGAAGATTTTCAGGAGAATTCAGGTAATTCTCAGGACATGACTGAGAAAGTGAATTTGGAAAACAACTGTATTTTCGGAAAAATTATTATATGTACTCAATATTTTTTGTACATCTGGAAACTTTTTGGTAACCCCCCCCCCCCTCTATCTAACCACACACACACCCTGCGACGAAGTGCTCGCAACGGCACTGAGTATATATCTTTGGAAAACAGGCGAGGGGTTATTGCATGCATGTATTTCTAGTATTATACAGTAGTTGTGCTTATAATCACGGAGGCGCGGCTATTTACACCCGGGGAAACGAAAGCATTAGCGAAGTCTAAAGTTCATCAATTATCGCGGGCGTGGGTCACCAACCATGGGTGGTCATCCTCATTGATCTCAAAAATATGGCGGACTGTCATGAATAGCTGACACTGATTGGTCCAATTTAAAGTTTGCATTATAACGACTGCATGACGACAGCGAAATAGCAAACATTTCTTGATTTGATGATTGATCAGTGTATCTTTAATATTGATTCCCTTTTTTATGATGTTGAATTTTTTAAATAAAAAAGAAAGCAAAGTTATTTGCAAGCGAGAATTTGAAATCATTTTATTGCAAACTCAAACTTTATCGATAAAGCCATTTTAAAGGGCAGTTTAGTTTTATAAAGAACTCTTAAAACGTTTTGCGAAGCGTTTGTGGTTGAATTTTACCTTAGATTGAGGCTTATGTTACGTATAATAACATACCTAACATATATATATTGGGACTGAATTAATAATTTTGTAATTAAAAGTGATATTTTTAGGCGATTTTTCATTTGTAGAATATTCTTAAAAGATTATCGTGTTTTCAGGACAACTACTTTAGATACTTCATGTTGGTGAAAATACAATGGTTTTGTCAGCAAGGCGAGGGTTTGTGCATGCATGTATTTTCTAGTGATAGTGATGTTTTACCAAACAGAGGTAAAACTTTCCCGCTTCATATATATATATATATATATCTAACTACAGACGGTACCGTTTCGGCCTTATGGGCCTCATCAGTGTAGTGCTGATGAGCAGGATGAAAGTAACTCTTATTTATAGTTACCTTTGATGCCTCACGATTGTGGGACATCAAAACCATGCCAGAGCGCTCAAACTGCAAGCAGTGAGCGTGCGCAATGCGTAAGCGGCATGGCTCATCCTGTAGAGCGCTCAATATGACCTAAAGGCCATAGAGCGATATATATATATATATATATATAGATAAAGATAAAATAAACCTGGTTTACTTCATAAGATTTATTTCGTGAATAAATCTTATGAAGTAAACCAGGTTTATTTTATCTTTATCTATATTAGCTCTATACTTCGGTATATCGAGCACTCTACTCATATATAATTCTAAATACATATTTGGTATATATATATATATATATATATATATATATATATATATATATATATATATATATATATATATATATATATATATATATATATATATGTTTTTGAGTAAATTTGGGGACAACAATTCGTTAAATTAAAAATTGTTATTTGAAATAACTATATATTTGTTTCATGTGTTGCTGAAAATTTAAAAAATGTTTCACTGAATGTAAGAAACAATGCGAAAATTATAGATATATTTATAGATATATGCCAACATACATTTGTTACGACAATTTACTTTTTTCTCGTGATCCTAAGTAATGGGGAAATGTTGTGGGTGGTTTTCTTGATCACATCACAGTATATAGGGAAACAACCAGTAGGGCCACTTATAGGGGAGAGAAAAGCTACGTCCCAGGTGTCTTACGCGGCCAAAATCATTACCCTGTAATACAATTTAATAGTGAACTGCTGCCGTTTGCTGGCTGCCAATATGTAAATTAGGTTGGCAGCCAGTAAACAATGCGGACACTTTTTACGCTGAGTGGCCCTACTGTAGTTTTCCTATACTGTGATCACATCTTGCAAGCGTAGCAACTTTTTTTGTTCCTCTAACACAATGACGTCATACTGTGTATCTATAATTGAACAGACAACAGCAAGATCTTATCTATTGGTTAAATATCGCTACAAAGCAAGACAATTAAAACATAAAATTCTCACGCATTATTTAATTCCTCTTTAGCTGAATTTCTCGAATGTTCTAGCTATACATGACGATACTAAAGATGTGTGATGAAATGTTGAATTCAAAAACCTCTTCTGTGAACTTATGGATTGAAGTAACAATATTTTGATTTTAAGTGAGTACTGTAGTATACGATATGAAATTAACCTTCAATATAAGTGAGAACTGTATAACGGTAATAAATTAATTGCTTTATGAATTTGCTTCCAATATACCGGGTGTCTAAAAAAACGCTATAAAAATTCAACAGGGTGTCGTGCATCATAAACATGGCTAAACAATTCAATTTTTATACATAGGACGAAAGAACAGTTATTTTAGCTTTTCAATGATACTCTTTTTAAAAATCGTATGAACGATGAGAAATGACCACATACTCGTCAAATAAAAATTGCACGAAATCATATTCTTCCACCGTTGGGAATTGCGTGGAAAACGAAACATAGACAATTCCCACCAAGAGGGAATTAAATTTGAATGTTAAATTATCTAAAATCAGCTCTACTAGTCAATCTTCGTCTTAGTGAGACAAAAAGAACGTCATTAAACATTGTTCAATTAACCACTGAACATAGAACATTTGTAATCAAACGTTTTACGAAACAAATAGCTTGCAGCAGACTTGCGTTGCTTTTGGATTATTAACTTAATTTGCATAATTAATATATTTTCAATTGCCAACGGTGGAAAAATGTGATTTAGACCGGCAATTTTTATTTGATGTAATTTTTATGTGGCCATTTCTCATCGTCACAATTTAAAAAAGGTATCGTTGAAAAGCTAAATAACAGGTCGTTCGTTCTATGTAAAAATTGAATTGTTTAGCAAAGTTGACGATGCACGACAGCATGTTGAATTCCCATAGTTGAAACGGAATGACATTCATGGACATTTCGGTTACAGCATTTTGCGTTTGAATTTAACAAAATCATTAATAAACCCTTACAAAACAAAAAGTGCTCAGTCTTGGCTATAGAGCCTCGTTTTCGTTTTCTTTGCATGAGATATTTGGTTTTAGCCTTTATCTTGTTGCAGGTGGCGCATTTGCATGTAGTTATATACAGGTATTTAATCATTTAAATTCATTAATTTGTTAGCGATTCCCAGCAGCCTTTCGCGCTCGTATTCGACTTTTCCGCTTTGCTCGTGGACAACCTTAATTGAAATAGCTGTATGTCAGTAAATGAAAGACCTGTAAGCTGTTTATAAAATATCTGTCTATAATTTTCAAATCAGTTACCAGATAAATGACTTTTAATCCAATGTCTCAAACACAAGAGGCTAAATACCTCCAGGCAAGGTGTGTTTACGTACTGTGGGTGAAGTTGGTTTTCCTTGCTTTAATCCGTGGCTTTATTAGGCTTATATTGGGCACAAATTACGAGAGCGATTGTTCATATTTATACTCGATAATGCATGGTCACTTTCGAAAAGCAAACGCATATATTGTTTCGTACATAATTTGTTGAAACGGATGACAGACGATGCACTGCTTTCGATTAAAATCAAACAATCCCACAATCATGTTCGCCCTCGATTCCTTGCTCAGCATGAAAAATTTTCCCATGCCAGTGCAGTAAGCAAAACGTCCGTTAGACTTTTGGCCCCAGAATTTTCCGCTAGACTTTTGGGCGAGTATGAAGATGAGATAGGGTGCGAGGATGTGGAGTTGCTTCGCCTGCACAGTTTTCAATCGAATTAATTATTCTGGCACAACCAAATTCCGGGTGCTTAACCATGTCAAAGATAGGTGCGGTTTGTATAGCATATTAGTCGATATTAGAGACCTTAAGATTTAGGACGGCAACGTGACAATTACTACTAGTAATGCAATGAAATTTATAAATATTTAAGAAAAAAATAAATAATTAAAATCCCACGGGCGATTTAGACATCGTCCTCGGTATGTTTCCACCTTAATAATATACATAAAGATATTACTCGACTGTGATATATTGGTTGATTTCAGTGCAGAAAATCCCAAACAGCAGTGCAATTTTCTGTAATCACATGCAGTGCAATTTTCCGTGTAATCACAGTGCAAAAATCTGTAACAAACTGTCTGATTCGTGGAACAACATTGTGATGATTAGATCAACCAATCAGTTTAAAGCAATTTAGTTTAAAGAAGTAAAGGTCACAGATTGCTTCAAAACAAAACAAAACAGACATGGCGCCGCGCTACATAAAGTAAAAGTTGCCCTCGCGTGGAAAATATGGCTTTTATCTTTATTCCCAAATGGAAAAGCATTTACCTTAATTAAACAAGACTAGTTGAGTGGAATTTTCAAGCTGTTAGCGTTGTATAATGTAAAACTTTGCTGGTGGAATGTTCGCTATAAACGTGTAAGTTAAAACTACAACTTTCTCGAACATTTTTATGTAAATTATTAATAAGTAATAGGCTAAGCATGGTTTCTCGTGAAATTTGGATAAACATGCACTCGTGAGTTTTTCAAAGACCTCAAATAGTGCTCCCCAGCGGGCAAAAGGACGTTTATCCAACGTTGAATCAACGTTGGAAATGACCTTCCAGACGTTGGATAGACGTTGAAAAAGGGTTGACTATGCAAATTGGATCCACGTTACTGTTTCGACGTTGAAACAACGTTGAAATTAGGTTGCCAATCTCGTCAACCATAATTCAACGTTGAATCCACGTTAAAACAACGTTGAGATTGGTTCACAAATCGACGTCGTACATTTAACCATGAATGAACGTTAATTGAACGTCTGTTGGCTGCTGTTGAACCAATGTTTGTAAAACAACGTCAGAGCAACGTAGATATTAGGTTGTCGACGTCGCAACCTTTTTTCTACCAAATTTCAACGTTGAAACAACGTCGTGTGCCCGGTGGGTCGTTATATCCAAATTGCACTCGAAACCATGCAATTACCTATATACTAAATAAACACTGCATGTCAATAATTTTGTAAATAAACGCTGTTAACTAGAAAATACATGCATCCAGAAACCCTGGCCAATACAGGAAGTATTGTCATGGTAAAACGTTAATTTTAAGAACAGTTTAAAAATTAAAAATCCCTCCAACATGGCAAGTTAACCGTGCAAATATTTCGAATATATATATAGAGAATGTCATTCAGTATGATATGGAGAATAACAGAATGCTATCAGTTGTTTAGTATAAAAAAGTAACAGAGAAACGATTAGAAAGTCATGTAATTGCTTCTGTATTAACAACTTCTTTAGCTGAAGGCTCGATCACAATGCCAATGTCAATTTATATTAAAAGGCCATTTTTTTCAATGTCACGTATATTTGCGATAAAAAGTGTTCAAAACCGAAAATCTTTTTGGCGTACATCTCAAAATTGTTTTGTTTTAGTTTTGTTCTCTAGTTATTTATACAGCTATAGTTAGCAACCTTTTTGAATGCATTTTCCAGTTGAGAAACATAAATTAAATAATAGCAAAAAAATTCGATTAAAATACAATTATCAATGACGCTTTAAAAGTGACGCCATATATTTACAGCCATATATTAAGCAAAACTTACTGAACTTCAGACATCATTTTCTCTTTGGCGTATCATCTAAAATTTCTCCTTTTTTGCATTATTTTACAGATAAAGCACTAAACATACTTTTTAAGTTTGTTTGCCGATTGAGAAACGTACGTATCGAAAAATAAAAATTTCGTCATAACCTCTAGTGGTATATTATACGCATTAGTTTTGAGCACGTGTCGCAACATACAAAAAACTCCTCTTAATTAAATGTATTCTGTAAACAAAATCCCAAGTAAATAAAAGTTCACAACCGTAAAGTTTGAAATATTTATTACAACAGTGCAATTTTATAGTAGTCATAGCTTACAAATCTAGTTCCTGCAAGTCTAGTAAGTCTAGTTCTTCAATCCTTCGGTTGTTGACATGTTAATATCCCAAGACTTTAAATAATTATGGCATATGTCATATACACGCGTAAAAATTGAGAAAATCAAAACTTGTTGCAAGTTGATATCGACAGGCGTGAACAAGGTTGTGCGGCCCACTATGAACAGTATTGTCAACATGTTGTTACAGCATTGTTCAACTGTAACAACTTGGAACAACATGGTTGACAACTTGTTCATAGTTGGCCGCACAACATTGTTCACGCCTGTCGATATCAACTGGCAACAACCTGTGCGTTTTTAGCCGTGTATACCACGAATAACAGCATGAATTCACGCCCAGATGACAGAAGAGTATTGTACATTGGTCAATTCAACAAAAACAAGGAGCAAAAAATCGTTAACGATAACGAAATATCACAACTTGCAAGAAATCGTACAATGTTGCAAGAAATCGACAAAGAACTACCAGGCGTCTCGCATTTCAAGTGCACTTTTCCTATCAGCTAGCCCCTTCGCCCATCTCTCGCCACTACAATACTTCATGTAAACTCGTCATATGCGAATCGCTGTTTTTTACAAAGAGACGCCTGGGTACCAAGCAGCTAATGACCTGTGCCTACAACCATGTATAGCAATAACGCTTTAGTCATATCTACTAATCTACATACCAGTGTGCTACTTAAAGGCGGGGATCTGCATGGGATAATAATATATGTTATTGTGCCAAGAAAGATTTCAAGTTACTTCCACACAATATCAGGAAATTGAGTTCTTCCTTTTCAGCTTTTGGTATTACATTTTGTCACAATGAATCTTAATCCTTCAATGCTATTTAATAGGAATAGCCGAATAGGATGTAGACTCGAAAGAAGCAGACGATGTCTGAGTTTAAGTTTAATTTATGTAGATCCAAAAGATCAAAATATGACTGACTGGAAAGTTTCGAAATTGCGCTGATCTTGTGTAATAGAGATGCTAACAGTGATTATATAAATATTGAAACTCTAGCCTGCAAATCCCGCTAATCTCAAACATGGAATAGGAAATTGGTGTTTTTTAGGCCAACTTAAATGCAACCGGAACGAGGCAACCGATTCGACTAAAAGCCGTTTTCCACCAGGCGGAATTTCTTGCGCGGAGCGGAATTTTTCTTTGTCATGTGATTTCTCGGGTGGAACTAATTAATTAGAAAAGACAAAGAGAAATTCCGCCCCACTGGAAAATTCCGCCTAGTGGAAAATGCCGGCCTTTAAGCTAATTTCCACCACAAAATCCGCGCATGCACCATCAGTAGAAATTTTTGGTTTCGATTCATCCGGCGACGTTGCTGGCTGGATAATAAAAAGTTAAAATATTTTCGACTTTTTTTGTCCGCTCTCGTGGATTAAACCTGGTGACCAATCAGAATGACGTATTATCTAACATAAATTAAAAGAATTAAATACCTGTATAAATTTACAAAATGGAGGATGTGAGACTGGAACCGGGCTCCGTTTTTTCCCTTTTCCGAACATTCCACTTGTCCTTTTACTGGAAATCGCTTGTTGGATCGGACCGGTTCTGAAAAACCTTCGATCTGGTCCGATCCGCTGCTTATTTTCCGGAGTAAAAATTAGCCATTAGTCAACCCGGTTGCCTTGTCGAAGGCATGATTGCGCTATTATTTTTTACGACAACATTTACCTAATAATAATCAAATTTCTGATGTATTGATCAACCTCGCTTCCTGCGTCTTCATGGTGGTATGTATATTGTCATCACAAACACTTATCAAACCAGGTTGAGGGGGAAATTAATTTGGTAAAATTTATCTCGATTTAGTAAATTTTGTGCGGAAAGTTTAATAATAATTGCTGGATAAATAGAGTCACACTGGGTTTAACTCAGCAACATTTTGATGGTGATGAAAACATTTCATTTTTTCAGACAATCTAAAAATAGAGTGTTCATTTTGGTGGAACCTGCAAGAGTTTAATTACATATTTTTGTAAACTAGGTAAGTGACACAGAAAACATACTGTATAATATTCTATTCTGATGAAAGTAATTATGATCCGTCTGTCAACATCTTATTATCATCAGCTCGTGTAATAATCTAATAATGTTGTCGTCTTGTCGTACGTATGACTATAGTGTCAACTGAGAAACAATATATTTGGTGACAGCTTGATAGGGTGGGTAGAAGTTCCTAAAAGTTGAGATCTCACAAATGTTTAAATAAACGACATGCAGGCACAGCTGATTATACTAATTTCGTACTTGTTCATAATATATTATTATATTATAGCTTCATTATAATTTTGATTTATTTAGCGTTCATATAATTTAATTGATTTGAATTATTCCCTTGTGGATTAATGTTGTAAGAAACACAGTCGTAAGTCGTGAAATATCAACCAATGTAAATGTTTTATCGCCCAAGCTGTTTTCTGTGTAGCAAATACTGTATACGCGAGGATTCACCGGACTAATCTTCTGGGGATATTGCTGGACGAAGTGACTCTGCACTGATTGCGCTGATTATGTTAAACGGAATGAAGGAATCAATCGCCGAATCAGTGCTACCTAATTGGCAGTGTGGATTTCGTAGAGGGCATTATTTTCGCGCTCAAATAGCTCATGGAAAAGTCGAGGGAACAAAATCAGGATTTATGCATGACCTTCCCTGGCTTTTCCAATGCCTTTGACCTTGTCAATCGTAATGCTTTGTGAGCAATCGTTTGTGAAATGGGATGCAACCAAAAATTCATTAACATTCTACGATGTCTCCATAACGACATATGTGTCAGAATATCAGTCGATGGTGAACTAACTCGATACATACCGTACAGAAGCGGAGTGGAGCAAGGTTGTTTCCTTACTCCAACTCTCTTCTCCTTGTTCGGCAAAGCTCTCTCAATCGACAATTCTATTGATATCTTGTTCATGCTACTGATGTCTTGTTCAACTTGATCAAAATGATCCCGAAAAATTTAGGAACCATTCCGTCTTGATTTCGTATTGTTAAAGCCCATCTACACGAAACGACTGACTAGCCGTATACGATTCTTATCCTGGCGTATGTACTCGAATAAATGCGTGTAAAAATCATAGATATCTTATATACACTAGATAGTGCATCTAATTATTCTGCAATAGGCCTTTTCATGGTTTTCGACGACATATTGTCGGGTAGGCAAGAATTTGCAGGCGCGGTCACCAAGCCTAATATAAATCACTATTGTTCTGCTACATCCGGAGTGTATCTCACAAAAGATTACATTTTAAAGTTGTTTCATGTGGTAAAAGTACATTGAGGTGAAAGGTAGGTTTTTTTTTCTACAATTTATGTAACTCTCGTCGGTGTTGCTCGTATATTTTGCCAGATATATACAATTTTGTTGTAGTTATGCCTTGCGCCATGCATGCATTTATACTATATTTATACATAGTTAATAGAAGAGATGGTTTGGAAACTCATTAGAATGACAATATAACTCATTATCTATGTTAGTCAACGTTTATTCATAAACCTGGTCTTTCACCGTCACGTGCGTATTGTATTTTTGCCAAACTAACCAATAGCAATGCTTTAGAAAAGTTACCTATCCATGACTCGAACAGTATAGGGTAAATTGGAAATTGCTATTGGTGGATTTGGCAAAAATACAATACACACGTGACGGCGAAGGACCAGATTTATGAATAAACGTTGACTAACATAGATAATGAGTTATATTGTTATTCTAATGAGTTTCCAAACCATCTCTTCTATTAACTGTGATTTATATCATCATTGCTTAATACATACAAAAACCACGTTTTATCACGAAACTACTGTTCTGTATAGAACTAGTATAGTATCATGAATTCTCATGTATAAATAGTTTAAACTTTTATTATTTTCATGATGTTTGCGACTTTTTATATATTAAAACAATAAAAGGTATTCTATAGTAATCAATATACCACAGGCGGGCGCGGGCAAATCGAGCCTGGGCCTCCTGGGAATATAGTATATATTATATTGTAATTTTTTCTACTCCAAATTAGAAAATATATATTTGTGAGTCTATTTGTCAGTAGCATTGATTCTTTCTTGTTTGTAAATAGTTGCTTACCATTCACAAAGGATGTCTGGCCAAATGAAATTATGGATTTTCAGACGCCCCTCCCTTGTCCGGAAATTTCTGGGCAATTAGTGAACCCCCTCGACCAGGGCCGCTGAGAGGGGGGCAAATTGTCCCGAGCCCTCGCCTTAATAGGGCCCCAACCTTAATAGGTCCCCGACTTGAGAGCGAGAGCCTAAAATTGAAAAGGTTCTTTAAATTGTTCAGAGCATTTTGAAATTGAGGGTCCCTCCACACTGCAGTCTAGCTAAGGTCTAGTTTAAAAATAATGATGTCATGGGACTCCCGGGGTAGATTTGCCCTGGGCCCCGCAAATACTCTCGGCAGCCCTGCCCCGAACATCCGCCCTGTTTCACAAAAACTCACGAAACCTTGTATATGTCAATAGTAAAAACTTTTCTCACTTTTTTATAACTCACTAACCAGTGGCGTAGCCAGACCTTCATTTTTTTGGGGGGAGGGGGGGGGCGAAGCGAACGCCGAAGACGCGAAACAGTCTAGGGGGATCCGGCGCACGCACCCACGGGAAAATTTTGAAATCTAGAGTCCCTAAAATGCGATTTCAAGCATTTCGGGGGTGAAATCTTGCGGAATTCTGAAGATTATAAAGTACATCGAAGACATGAATTTTCCCAGACATTTCTAACTTTTCTACTCGGAATTAAGTAAATTGGAAAATTCACCTTGAAAAACAGGAGGAGCCGGTCAGCGTCACCTTATTTCCCCTCTGTGATGCTGGGGGAAGAAAATCCCAATGTGATTTTGATCAGAAATGTTGCATTTAAATCATTCTAGGTTTTATGAGACAGCATTTCCACATTCTCAAAATTGCGTTCCTTTTTTATACGGTACAGTATAAGCCTGAGAAGAATATTCATGGTATGATATATATTAAATGCATACATGTAAATCTAAACTAAATCTATTCTTCTTGGAACCATATCTACAACTGCTTTAACGAGATTTTACAAATCAAGTTCCTCCAGTATATCGTCGTTCTCAGTCGAGACGTACTTAATCGGTTTCAGCTTCGAGGATGTAACGTGTACCCCCCCCCCCCAATTTCTCAACGGATTTAGTGTTATTCAGAGAATTTTTTTATTGGGGGGAGGCGGTCCCCCCCCCCCCCCCCCACACCTTGGCTACGCCACTGTCACTAACTGTAAATGCATGTGACTACAAAGAGAGTTATAAATGAAGAAAGCAGTATTATTTCATAACACTGTTCAATTCATCATTGAAGGAAAGAATTAGATAATATTATGAAGTATTAAAACTGCCAATTTCATAATGGGAAGGAGAGTTTGATTAAAAGAGGCAAAAAGAATTTTTTTTTTTATTTTTTTTTAAATTCTGACATCCAGATTGCTAAAAAAACCCTCCTCCCTATGTCGAGTTTGTCTTGATTTTCCACCCCGCCCCCTCGTCTTGGATATCCTTTGTGAATGGCCCCTAAGGAATTTAATTGACATTGTGATTTCTCGGTATAGTGTACACAAACTGAGCTTTATTAAAATACTTTGTCTTTGAATATTTTATATTATAATCATTATACTAGTTTGATTGAAAAGGAAATACCAACATGCAAATATAATTATAGTATACTGGACTGAGTTTATGTCGATTGCATGTTATGCCATGGAGACCATGTTGTTGGTATATTATAGTCATTTAGTGACATATATGAACAAAAGACTCGCATATTCTTTTATTGCATTTGCCATTTTGCATGTCTTGTTCCACCAAGATGGCCGCCATTTTATTGTCTTTTAATTGCTAAGAGATAAGTTGCAACCCACCTATATGATTTTTTTCTATTTTTTGTAGTCACTGTTAAAAATGCCAAAAAACACACATTGTTGTGTTGGCGGATGTGATAATGATGAAAGATATCCTTGTAAGTTCAAAATTAGGTCAAATGTTGGCACAATTGAAATTCTTTAAATTAGGGACCGGTCATAAAGTAATTATAGAGGGGGGTGGAGGATGAATGAAATTTCAAGTACATATTTCCATACCCTCCCAAAAATCTATGGAAAAATTTTCGTAACCGCCTTCAATTTAAGTGAAAATTTCCATACCCCCCCTTCTATTATTAATTCTGTTTTAACATTTATCTTGCGTTCATCTATATTTTGAAACTCTCCAGTTTGTGATAACTCTCCCACTTCTTGTAGTGGTAACCATATCCTCAACATTTTCCGCAGTCTCCAATTCGTCACCAGTCCGATTCTGACTACTACTATGGTTTATTTCAAACAGAAAAAAATTGCTTCCATTCAATGTGACACTTCCTCATCGGGTTCTAATGGTGCGAGCTTGCTAGCATTGACAATTCAGACGTATTAGATTTGCACTCCAAACTTTCCACGGATACTGAATTCTATACTTATCATCTGACATTGAGTCAAACTGAAACATATATACTTTGTGTTGATTTAATAATAATTATAGTAAAACAATTCTTTCCAAACTTAAATCTGGGCACAAATACATTCAATATTCAGGAATAATTATATAAAATGTAATATTTTTTTTCGTACCTATAGTGCTAAGATTTTGGTACACCCCTAGAGGTTCTGTTGTTTTTCTCGTACCCCCCTCAAAGGTTCTGGGGTTTTTTTCGTACCCCCCCCCCCCAAAAAAAAAAAATATCCTCCACACCCCCTAGTAAATATTTTATGACCGGTCCCTTACTAAGCATACTTAAAAAAGGCCCATATGGATTGAAAACATAAAGAAAGGGCGCGAGAACTTAAGTCCAGGAAGTGGAACATTTGTCTGTGCAAATCACTTCATTGATGGTGAGCCAACTCCACAAAATCCAAATCCTACTCTTTTAATTCGTTACTCCAACGGAAACAGGTATGGACACACACCTATCAAGATAAAGCGATCTGAGAGGAGATTTGTATTGCAAGGTATGGACATGGAACAAAGTAAAACGGAAAAGAATCCACCTGACAATGAACATCTGCGGCAATATCTGGACAGTGAACAAAGTGAAGAGTTAAGGAACACCTCTGAAACTGAACATTCATTGACAGGGGTACTTTAAAGCCAGACTATTTGTTTGAAGAAGTTATTAGAGAGGGTATGGTACACTTCTACACTGGTTTGCCAAACACAGAAACTTTTAAGTTTTTGTTTCTTCAGTTTCGTCCAAAGGCTACTAATATGAACTATTGGAAGGGAGAAGCACAGGTGCAAAAAGAAAAGCAATCATTGAACAGAAGCGGTAGACTTGCCTACGTATTGGGAGTTTTTGATGATGCTGGCATTGAACCACCTACATTCAAGTCAGGCCCCAAAAGGAAGCTGAACCTTGAGGATGAGTTGCTTCTGACACTAATGAAACTGAGACTGGGTCTTCATGTAGATGATTTAGCATTTAGATTTAAAATCTCTAGAGCACTTGGTTCAGAGATATTTGCGACGTGGGTTCGCTTTATGTCTAAAGAATTGAGATGGTTGATAATGTGGCCAAGTAAAGGGCAAATTAGGAGAGTGTACCCTAACGTAAGATGTATTATTGATAGCGCTGAGGTTTTCACTGAAACTCCTAGTGCACTGGATGTGCAAGCTACATTATTGTCAGAACACAAGCATCGCACAACGATCAAGTTCCTGGTTGCTATTACTCCAAATGGTGCTCCCTCTTATGTTTCGTCTTGTTATGGTGGACGAGCAACTGACAAATTTATTGTCCAAGACTGCGGATTTCTAAAATTGCTTCAACCATTCGATCAAGTTATGACTGATCGTGGATTCAAAATAAGAGAAGAACTAATGATGTATCTGGCTGATTTGTGTATCCCACCCAGTTCAAGAGATGGTATGCAAATGACATCAGAGCAGGTGAAGGAAACATCGCGGATAGGGAATATTCGGATTTATGTAGAACAAGCTATTGGGCGACTAAAAAGCTATAATATTATCAAGCATGAACTGCCAATGAACTGTCTCCCACTTTGTAAGGATATTGTTGGTGTGGTTTCTGCACTTACCTGCCTACAGGACCCTCTTTGTAAATGACTATGCTAAGCATGCATTTGACTGCTATTAGTGAAATTAGGATAATTGAATGTAATTGCACAAATCCAAAATGATTGTCATGAATACAGACAGAAATTTCAAATCAGTATTATTATGGGTTCAATTTGGTCATTCTTCTAAATGTCCCCACTAAACCCAGGTATAAAATGTTTAAAAAAAGTTGTTTGCTCCTTTTGTTTCACATTACACTTTACATTATTATGGTAAGTTTTATTTTATGTTTTAATTGTATAAAGATTTACTAGTTGCTAGTAATACTACTATTAATTAATAGAGGCTACACAAAATTAACATAACCACTCTTCAGTGTCACCAATGTTTTGTACATTACAGCATTTGAAATGCGACCATCCTCCACACAAGTCACAACAGACACTATTTTCATATGATTCTGGTGTAAGCTCTTCACTCTCAAAAATAACTTTATCGTATCGCATAATGAGCAGAAGAAAATTGATTTGTATCGCAGCAATATATTGACCATATATGACTTTCAAAATATCTCTAAATTATGCAGTAACCGAGTCCAAAATTCTAAGTCATACTTGATTAGTTCAACAAAAATCCTCCGAGTGGTCCAAACAATAAAAAAGGTTTTGAACATTCCAGTAACAGCCATTTGTCCAGTGATTTGATAATAGTATTTGCGGCTTCTTTTCAGTTGAATGTTATTATTGACACATTCTAAGAAATCAGTTTCATGCCATTTGTCTTCAACTGCATATTCTCGAATGCTAAAAGGGCATTTAATTTCCACACATGCAGACTGACAACAGTCACAAGTCATGAGTCCATCTGGGCTCGCAGCAATGTATGGCTTATCTTTTAAAATCCAAAGGCCAGATTTTACCATTTTGCAATTTTCGTGTTTGGAGAAAGCCAATGCATGAAACTCCCTTAATTCTTTGTCCTCATTATCTGTCTCCCACTTGATTGCTGGGAGACTAGCAACAGATGAAGAGCCAAACACAAGCTCTGCCACCATATGCGTGGTTTTGGGCCTCTTGTTTGCCCTGCTTTTTGAAATTGTTTCCATCGTTATGCATATGTCCTTAAATTTTGATGATGTTATCCTCCCTTTTCTTTGCTCAACCCAACATGATGATTTTGCTTGTTGCCTAGTGGAACTTTCAATACTTTTTACCTGTCCATCTTCAAGGGGAAGTATTTTCATGTACCCACTTATTACATCCTGTTTTGAAATGTTGTTTTCTAATGTATTGAGGTAATTGTCCGCTCTTTTTGTAATTTGAAAAGGCATTGTATCCTTGGGCAATTCTCCAACGTCTGAAGAGTAAAATAATTGTGCAGTTGGTTGTATCTTCCTATACCCTTCTAAGAATGACTCTTGTTGTTGCTCGGTTACCACTCGTTCGCCCTCTCTGCGAGGATCAAATTCCTTCCACAACTCAGAAATAATTCCCGGGGCCCCAGTTCTCTTATTTGTTTTCTTATCTATCCGAATTGTCATGTCCATAATTTTTCCAGCTTGGACATCTTTCTTTGTTGACATATTCCACCCACAAGGCATTGAAGTACATGCCGGATCATTGTAACCAGCATTGGATGCATATTCCAACTTGTGAAGCACAGCAATCATGTGATTATAGGTAGAACTTGTACCAGCAATAATACATGTACACCAACCACACAAAATGGTACCATCCTCGTCTAGTGCTACCCACACTTTTTAGGCTCATCTCGGACATGTTGTGATTGTATCACATTACACTTCATCACATATTTACCATTATTTTCAAAAAATAAGATTGTTCCAACAAAGTTACTCATCCAATACGAATAAGCTTTCTGGTCCTTGTATTTCCCAATATACTCTGAGTGGAACTATTTTTTTGCCAGAATATAACAAAAAAATTTGCCAAGATCTACTCTTGGCCATTTAGTGACATCGTCGATCCAGGATCGAGTTCCATTAGGATCAGCTAAGTCATGTTGTTGAAGTCGTGCTAAATATTCATTCTGGATTTTGGTATTAAGCTCTTCTGCAGAAAGCTTAGCAGGCAATTTTAGCTCAAAAGCAGAAAATGCCCTACAATCGCGTGCAAAAATAATGAGACTTTTCACATTTTTGGCCATTTTAAAGTACGTCGGCCTCCCCCCTGCCCCCATGATCAATGTTGGAAAAAGTGGGTTGAATTTTCTCTTTTCAGTCATCCACACAACATTGAATTGGGGGTGGGGGGGGGGCACTTATGCGGTTGTCTCGATAATTTTTGCTCCTGATTGTCTCTATTTGTACTTTTGAATAAAACGCGATTCGTTCATGTTGATTCAACTTAGTGCTCCAGGGAAGACGCTGACTTGGATTTCTTGCTTAGTGAACCTTTTGCTATATAATATTTTTTCTCAGCGGTTTTCTATAACTGAGTACTGCATGTAAAAAAATATAGGGATCTTGAGAACTACCGGTATAGTTATTTTTTGTTAGGAAAGGACGATTAATTGATGAATATATACATTGGAAGAAGATTATAAAATAATGAATAAAATTCAGACTATTTTTTCCCATGGCTGACAATCACGAGCATATATTTTTTTCTCAAACAGAATATTTTCTTTAAGTTCAAGTATTTTATAACAGACAACGCATCGTTCTGACCTACTTGTATGCAATTTTTGAAAAATTTCAATGATTTTCCTACTTTTAGCTGAATTGTTACGTAAGATTGACATACTCACTAGATTTTAAACCCAATTCAAGCATTTTATTTATGTTGATATATGGACTTACCGATCGTAAACTTGCACTAGATCTAGAATTTATTGCAAACTTCCATCTCCTATGATTTTGGGATTATGTGAGATGAGCTCAAGCAAATCTGGTCGCACATGCGCATAATATCAATCTATTTTCACGTACTGATTATAGACACGTTACAGACACGTTACACCACACGTTACACCACACGTTACATAATAATCTGTAGTAAAACATATAGAGATACGACACGTTACACGTTACACCAATTGTTATTAAAAATAAATATATATATATTTATTTTTAAAAACAATTGGTGTAACGTGTGTAACGTGTCATATTTCTATATATTTTACTATAGATTATTATGTAAAGTAGGTGTAACGTGTAGTGTAACGTTTTGTGTAACGTGTAGTGTAACGTGTGTGTAACGTGTCAGCGTTTGCTTAATGTAGCCAAGTGCATAAAATTTACATGAACTAATCACTTTAGATTAGTTGGTGAACATCCCACAAGCACAACAGCACATACTGCAGTATAAATGACAAAGTTTTCTCATTTTTCGTCATATGGCTAGGCTTAGGAACTCTCATATAATGATTGCCTGCTGAGGAAATGATGGCTAATTGAGCTTGAAAGGATGTAAGAGTAGATTTGTGTATGGCTTATTGGATGTGTTGATACTATATCGCAAAGTATTTTAATAAATCGTGTTTAGCCTACAACTTGTCTATTTTCCCAAAGATTTTTTTCTAGTAAGTAAATGATAGTAAAAATTAAATTCGTTAGAAAAGCTTCTTTATTTTTGCCCGGACCCCCCCCCCCCCCCCCCCCCCCCC